TTGACTCTGTAAATCACTTACTTAAAACTTGACCTTTTAGGTTTTCCAGTTGATCTGCTTAAATGGATTTCAAGTTATCTAAATGGCAGGTCACAAAGGGTCCTTTTTAAAAATTCAATTTCTGAGATTATCCGTGTTACCTCCGGTGTCCCACAAGGGAGCCATCTGGGTCCGTTACTTTTTACATTATTTATTAACGATCTTCCCTCAATTATAAGTAATTCTCGCGTACTTATGTACGCAGATGATGTTAAGTTGTGCCTGCAGTATAAGGACATTTCCTGCCATTTAGACCTTATTTGACTAAAACTTTATTTATTTCGCTAGTCCGTCCGATTCTGGAGTATGGGTCTCCCGTCTGGAGTCCACAATACGGAATACATATTGGTCGTATTGAATCTGTACAAAAAAACTTCCTTCTTTTTGCTTTACGGCGCCCAAACTGGGATGCAAATCTTATCTTACCTTCTTATTCTAGTAGACTTCTTTTGATTAATTTACCATCCCTAGCCAACCGTAGAACGATGCTTGGTACTATCTTTATTTATAACCTTATACATGGTAATATTGACTGTCCCGACTTGTTAAGTCGGCTAAACTTTTCTGTGCCAAGTAGATTAACTAGAAATTATATTCCCCTAATTTTAAATCATTGTAGATCTAACTATGCCTTGCATGAGCCTTTCAGAGTATTATGTTCTGACTATAATAGACTTTTTCTTGTAATATCAAATCTTGACTCTCTGCCGCTCCTAAAACGATTAATAATGGCTTCATTGGCACAAGATGGATCTAACTATTACTTTTTTCCCCGGACCTTTACCTTTGTTTTCCTATCTCGCGTCTATCTTATCGCGAATCGTGCCGTACGATACACGGCTGCGCCCCACGGTCGGTTGGGCGGGTAAGTGGGCCGTGGGACACCGCGCGAAAATAAAAAAATGAAAAAAAAAATTACGAACCATATAAATAGCGAACAAATCAAAATACAAAAATTTCTTGACACAGCACAAAACACTATCTTCAAAGAACTTAGGGAAGATAGAGTAAACATTTTTACACTCCAATATATTAATCGAATAAATTTCCATATTGATACCTTGAAAGAACACATTAATAATATAGCTGAGAGCCTTTTGGCCAGCAAATTGGGCTTAATCCCAAAATTCTTGTTTAACAAACAAGAAATAAATACTATAAGAAATATGTTAACCACACAAAATATTACCCTACAATTAGATGAACACATCTATAATATACTTACACCATCTTGTTTTACTTTTAATAAAACTATTGTTTAACGTTAAGATACCAATTTTCGATACAAAAATGTATATGTTCACCCACATCATACCCCTACCAGTAAATAATTCACATTTAATCATTTCCCCCGAATTCTTGGCACATGATAACAACACTTTACATCAATTTCGCGAAAGCTGCCTTAAGATGGAACAAGAGTTCTTCTGTCAGGGAATCCACACGGACTTGACAACAAATGCCTGTCAGACATTGTCAGAAACGTAAAGGAGACAAAATGTGACATGATAGACACAGGTCACGAAATAAACATATTCGAGCCGGAAAAAGGGTTTATTTTCATTTTCAACGGAAAGAATGAATACGTTATAAGAATTGTACCATATGGATAAACGGAATAGAATACAGCGACAGAGAACTAGTTGAACATGATCATTTCACTTTCGTACTTCCACCAGTCGTCAAGATAACAAAAAATCAAACGATCAAAACATTATTACTGGAAAAATTACACTTTGAAGCCCTTTCGACAGCTGGAAAAATCATCAATATGGATAATATAACACAGTACGAATTTACGGCCATATACTCAGCAATATCATTGACCCTTATCCTGATCGTCATCCTCCGATTATGCCATAAACCACAGACAATCTTCATCCCACACCCGCCGACCGTCACTACCTTGGTGGAGCCGACCATTCCTTCGTTATGGCCCTCTCTCCACTCTAGGGGGGAAGAGTTACGGCACATCATTGCGGACACATCGCCGCCCCCCAAACCTCAGCGACTCAGACAAATGGTCATTAACCCAAACACTGGATGCATAAACGCTGAGTTTGGGAACCAAAGAAAGTAAGCAGAACCAACATTTAACAGCTATGAGAAAACAACAAACAAACCAACACATCAGTTACGCCAAACCTGCCAACTAGATATGCGAATTCCCAATCTTACCATTTCATTCCCATATATTCCACTGTATTCCAGAAGTTAATCTTTAGTTTGTAGAACAATAAAGATTCATTATAATTTTGACCGAAGTCGAAGGAGGTTGTCATTTATTAAACTTAATTATATCAAATACACTGAAAACACCCATTGGACTCAACTCACAGTATACCTAGACACTGGAAGCACCCATTGGACTCGACCCCCAGTATACCTAAATACTGTAATTCGCGCATCTAAACAGAACCAGTCCTTTCCAGGCCTTATCACCACCGTGGTCCGGTTGCTCCACGGGCTTTTGCTCTTCTCGATGACTCCGAGCGCTAGCATCTTGTCGACTTCATCCTCGACTACCTTCTGCTTGGCTGGAGACATCGGATAGGGTCGATCCTTAAAGACTTTGGCTCCGTCGATAATCTCTATTGTGTTTTTTTCCAGGCTAGTGATACCTGGGCCATCCCACTCGAAGGTTAGGAACTCCTGCCTGATCCTCTCCAGCTCTATACTCTCGGACTCTGATAACTTCCAGGATTCGGGATCGGATTTCCTCGGCTTCCGTTACGTTCCTCGACTTGTGCTCCCCTAGGACCCCCGGGGCTAGAGCAAACACTCGCCGGAAGTCTACTCCGAAGAACGCTGCTTGTTTCAGGTAAGGGCAAAGATAGAACAATGTTGGTTTACTCCTTCCCTTAAACCTTACAGGCAACTCCAAGCGTCCGATAATTGACCGATCTCCTTCTCGCTTCTGCGAGCTCTCTGCCTCCAGCAGACTGACACTGGCACCAGTATCCAATAATCCGGTCAATGACCTTCCTAAGATCTCCACGCTGCCAAAGGGTGGGATCTTGCAAACTGCCACGCTTTACGACAGCCACCACTTCCCGTCGTTTGGATCCCCTAATCCTGAAGCGGTCCCTTGCCTTCTGGACTCTTCTGCCGTTTAACTGCTGCTTGGCGAAGATCCTATTACGCACCTCCAAATAACGCCGCATCCTTTCTTCCTCAGGTAGGAATTTTAACCTAAAATCCCTAAGTAGTGATGGCTACTTAACGTATTAGACTTATATTGACTTTATTCTACTTTGCGGGATTCATCCCTCCCACTCTCGGATCGCCCAGTCTGCCGTTTTCTAGCTCTCGGGGCACTTGGGAGACACGGTATAAGGTTGACCGCATCGATAGGAAAACAGCCGCCATTCCACGGCAGCGCAATGTCGAAAACCGTGATTCTAGGCTCCGCGCATCTGACGCGCAGATTGTTCTGCTGACCATACATTGCGGGTCCTCTGCAACCGAAGCTCCGTTCCACGTCAACGCACTCCTCCAACTTACCCAGCTATTCCATACCTTAGCCCCCTTTTCACCAATTTTACCACTTGCCGTTCGGCATTGGCTTCTTTAGGCGTGAGGCGAGTTGCTGCATTGAGTGAATATAGTCGTTTACGGTTTAAGCCACTGCTGCAGGACCTAGTGTATCTTTTCGTGCTCCGTCTGATGACTCCGGAACCGATCCATTAGAGCCCGGCGCAGCTGTAACCAGTTGTCCACCCTGGACTGGCGACATCCGGCGAGTCCTCCACAGGTGGACGATATCGGCCACCTAATATTATCGTCGATTTCCGGCCCTGCGCTCCAAAAAACTACCGTTTTTCGTTTTGCGGCAGCTGCGATGCTTTATCGGTTGCCCTGAGGACGTCGTTCATGAACTGCATCATCTCGAGGAAGCCGTTCCGGATCTTATCCCGCAACGCTTGACCAATCTTAGCTGCGCGGTGAGTCTGTACCGCCTGGCCGCGTTTGCGGCTGAGTGCGTTGCTTTATTTCTAGCTGGATCCACCTTTCCAAAATCGTCCTGGACCTGATACAGCAGCGGTTTTGGAGATGGCCCCAAAATCAACATACCTCGGTGACCGTGGCGCCAGTGGATCCGTTTGCTGACTCCGTAACTTATCTCGTTGCATACCATCCGGCGTTCTAGGCAAAACCCTAGTCACCGATTGCCGAGGCAGCCCAAGTGCACCCTCTCCATCAGTGGACCAGAATGCGTCTTCGTCACCGCCAAGGGGACCCATCAACCTGAACTGATGGCCGCACCATCCACCCCTCTCGGTTACCCACAAACTGGAACCCATTCCGTTCACCCTACTCAGTCATCAACAGCAACAATATTAAAGTGGCTATAATTCCAAGTGGCTGCAATAACACCGCCGAATTATGAAACCAGCGAACGCCAACGACGACAGCGATGCAGCAACAGCGACCCAGCGACACAGCGACCCGGCGACCCAGCGACCGAATGTCAACCACGTCGGAACGACAGCGACAGCGACGGAACGTCAGCGATCGAATTGCATCGGCAATAGCGCAATAGCGGAAGAACACCGAGCGTCGGCTAGCTGCCTCAGCTATAGCCGCCGCTACCCCTACCCTTCGCCGAGCCCAGGCATAAGTGCAGCGTTAGCATCTGGAGTCGAGAAACACTTCGGGTCAGACACCCAAAACCGTTGGTGTCGGCTTGGATATTTCCGCAACCGCTCTGCCAGCGGTCTGCTGACGTCGCGGCGCTGCCCAAGCCAACAAGCCACCAAAATATAATTGTTAGAATTAATTCTATTTGTACCCCCGATCTGAACACTACAATATTTCTAAATAATAAAACCGCTTGTAACGAAAGAAATCGATTACAGTTTTATTTTAAAAGTAAAATCGTTTTTAAATAAAAAGGGGATAAGAAGGACGAAGGAAGAAGGACGAAGTAAGCAGGACGAAGGATCAGCAGGAAGGATCAGCAGGAAGGATCAGCATGAAAATAACATCTTTTAGGTAATATAAGGGGAATTATTCTCCCTCTGACCATGACTGGTCATAACTTATATACGCCGCATCCTTTCTTCCTCAGGTAGGAATTTTAACCTAAAATCCCTAAGTAGTGATGGCCTCTTAACGCATTAGACTTATATTGACTATATTCTACTTTGCGGGATTCATCCCTTCCGCTCTCGGATCGCCCAGTCTGCCGTTTTCTAGCTCTCGGGACACTTGGGAGACACGGTATAAGGTTGACCGCATCGATAGCAAAACAGCCGCCATTCCACGGCAGCGCAATCTCGAAAACCGTGATTCTAGGCTCCGCGCATCTGACGCGCAGATTGTTCTGCTGACCATACATTGCGGGTCCTCTGCAACCGAAGCTCCGTTCCACGTCAACGCACTCCTCCAACTTACCCAGCTATTCCATACCTTAGCCCCCTTTTCACCAATTTTACCACTTGCCGTTCCGCATTGGCTTCTTTAGGCGTGAGGCGAGTTGCTGCATTGAGTGAATATAGTCGTTTACGGTTTAAGCCACTGCTGCAGGACCTAGTGTATCTTTTCGTGCTCCGTCTGATGACTCCGGAACCGATCCATTAGAGCCCGGCGCAGCTGTAAGCAGTTGTCCACCCTGGACTGGCGACATCCGGCGAGTCCTCCACAGGTGGACGATATCGGCCACCTAATATTATCGTCGATTTCCGGCCCTGCGCTCCAAAAAACTACCGTTTTTCGTTTTGCGGCAGCTGCGATGCTTTATCGGTTGCCCTGAGGACGTCGTTCATGAACTGCATCATCTCGAGGAAGCCGTTCCGGATCTTATCCCGCAACGCTTGACCAATCTTAGCTGCGCGGTGAGTCTGTACCGCCTGGCCGCGTTTGCGGCTGAGTGCGTTGCTTTATTTCTAGCTGGATCCACCTTTCCAAAATCGTCCTGGACCTGATACAGCAGCGGTTTTGGAGATGGCCCCAAAATCAACATACCTCGGTGACCGTGGCGCCAGTGGATCCGTTTGCTGACTCCGTAACTTATCTCGTTGCATACCATCCGGCGTTCTAGGCAAAACCCTAGTCACCGATTGCCGAGGCAGCCCAAGTGCACCCTCTCCATCAGTGGACCAGAATGCGTCTTCGTCACCGCCAAGGGGACCCATCAACCTGAACTGATGGTCGTGCCTACTTTCCAGACCTTTTTCCTTCACATATTTCTCAATAATAATTAGCCGAAAACTATAATAATTAAATTCCGACAATAATAATAATTAAATAAGAAAAAATATCTGTAAGGCATATAATCGGATAATAAAGTAATAAATACTAGTAAATAATAAATAAATATGGTAAAAAAGAATAAATAAGAGACTGAATATGATTAATAAATAATTCTTGACTTCGCGAATCACCAAATTTAAATATCTTTCTTTTTACACCCTGCAGAGGGTAAAATACTGTAAAGTATATATATTCTTGATCAGCATCATCAGGAGAGTCGATCTAGCCATGTCCGTCTGTCCGTCCGTCTTCCGCCCGTCCATCCGTCCGTTTCTACGCTTTTTTTAAATCTCACAACATTATCATATAACTGCCATAGACACGATGGCAAAATGCAGGTCGAAATCGAAATAGTTTCATTGTTTTTAGTAATTTAAGTAATTTAAATCGAAATCGGTTTGCCGAAGTTTACTTCCTTTCTTATGCACAGCGATGTACATTTCCTGGCAAGCCTCCTGTTTCTCACAGCTTTTCCGGCTGCTAGTCCTAATCATCATTTTTGGGGCTGAGCGGCCGGTCTTTAAATTGCGAGACGTCGTCGTCTCGATCATTTATATTTATATTTATCTTTTTATTTACTTTGTGCGCCACTATGTCACGAACTGCATTTTTCCCAGTGGCAGTGCCGCTAGCTCATTCGGTCTCTCTGGGCCGGGTCCCCCAATGCCACACGACGTCTCACAACACTACCTAAATGTTTACCCTAATATGGAAAACGTAATCAAACAAAAATAAGGTAAACAAATCAATAAACGTCGAAAATTGTTATATTGGTGGCCTTTGGTGTGATGGAGACTACGAGCCCACCCAACCAAGAATGCGCAGAAGCATTCTACGGGGCATCACCCATGATCTGACTGCCGGAGCCGCTCCAGGCGTTTACGACCGGCACATTTTCCCTACCATCACCACTCACGTAAACATCTCAGGCTATTAACATTTAATTACAATATAAATAATGTATCATACACTTTTACTTTTCTCTTTTACATATCCATGGAAAATATTCCACCTACCAGGTCGCTTGCAACTTCGAAGAAGGAGATGCTTGGCCAGTATTGAGTGGCTGGTGCTAAGCCTACCGGAGCTCCAAAAGGACTTTTGGGACGGGTAAGTATGATTACTACGATTCGCTTTCCCTTTCTCGGCTAATATTCAGTTTAGCAGACCCTGTGTGGGAATAAGACTGCGCGGAATTGAAAAATGATGTATGTGATATGTGTACATTTACAAATTTAAATATATATATTTATTTGGCAAGCCGAAGTTTATATACCCTTGCAGTTATTACAAAACGACTACATTTCGATTTCTAGGCCTATATTACTAAAATTAATGAAGCTATGTCGATTTTGCGCTGCATTTTGCTATTGTTGCTATGGGAGCTATATGATATTGTTGTCCGATTTTGGAACAACTAAAAGCGAAATTCTAATATAGTAAATAATTACTATATCTCAAAGGAACATTTGGATAAACAAAAAAACAGTAAAATACAACTTTTTCATTTTTATTTTATTTAATTTTTCGAATTTTGATTTTAATTTAATTAAAAAATACTACCAAATACCAAACAACAAAAAAAAAGAAAAGCAACAAAGTTATATTTGAAAAAATATTTTTTTTTCGATTGTTTCTATGGGAGCTATTTGATATAGTCGTCCGATCTGGCTCGTTCCGACTTATATACTACCTGCAATAGAAAGACAACTTCTGGGAAAGTTTTAAGGACTACTTTGCGTAGAAACGGACGGACGTACAGACAGACGGACATAGCTAGATCGACTCTCCTGCTGATCAAGAATATATATACTAATATATATATAAGTTAACATCAGCCAACTACCCCCTTCCCTATACCCCACTTGAGCCCTACGACACCGAACACCGCACCATCCACCCCTCTCGGTTACCCACAAACTGGAACCCATTCCGTTCACCCTACTCAGTCATCAACAGCAACAATATTAAAGTGGCTATAATTCCAAGTGGCTGCAATAACACCGCCGAATTATGAAACCAGCGAACGCCAACGACGACAGCGATGCAGCAACAGCGACCCAGCGACACAGCGACCCAGCGACCGAATGTCAACAACGTCGGAACGACAGCGACAGCGACGGAACGTCAGCGATCGAATTGCATCGGCAATAGCGCAATAGCGGAAGAACACCGAGCGTCGGCTAGCTGCCTCAGCTATAGCCGCCGCTACCCCTACCCTTCGCCGAGCCCAGGCATAAGTGCAGCGTTAGCATCTGGAGTCGAGAAACACTTCGGGTCAGACACCCAAAACCGTTGGTGTCGGCTTGGATATTTCCGCAACCGCTCTGCCAGCGGTCTGCTGACGTCGCGGCGCTGCCCAAGCCAACAAGCCACCAAAATATAATTGTTAGAATTAATTCTATTTGTACCCCCGATCTGAACACTACAATATTTCTAAATAATAAAACCGCTTGTAACGAAAGAAATCGATTACAGTTTTATTTTAAAAGTAAAATCGTTTTTAAATAAAAAGGGGATAAGAAGGACGAAGGAAGAAGGACGAAGTAAGCACGACGAAGGATCAGCAGGAAGGATCAGCATGAAAATAACATCTTTTAGGTAATATAAGGGGAATTATTCTCCCTCTGACCATGACTGGTCATAACTTATATACGCCGCATCCTTTCTTCCTCAGGTAGGAATTTTAACCTAAAATCCCTAAGTAGTGATGGCTACTTAACGCATTAGACTTATATTGACTTTATTCTACTTTGCGGGATTCATCCCTCCCGCTCTCGGATCGCCCAGTCTGCCGTTTTCTAGCTCTCGGGACACTTGGGAGACACGGTATAAGGTTGACCGCATCGATAGCAAAACAGCCGCCATTCCACGGCAGCGCAATCTCGAAAACCGTGATTCTAGGCTCCGCGCATCTGACGCGCAGATTGTTCTGCTGACCATACATTGCGGGTCCTCTGCAACCGAAGCTCCGTTCCACGTCAACGCACTCCTCCAACTTACCCAGCTATTCCATACCTTAGCCCCCTTTTCACCAATTTTACCACTTGTCGTTCGGCATTGGCTTCTTTAGGCGTGAGGCGAGTTGCTGCATTGAGTGAATATAGTCGTTTACGGTTTAAGCCACTGCTGCAGGACCTAGTGTATCTTTTCGTGCTCCGCCTGATGACTCCGGAACCGATCCATTAGAGCCCGGCGCAGCTGTAACCAGTTGTCCACCCTGGACGATATCGGCCACCTAATATTATCGTCGATTTCCGGCCCTGCGCTCCAGAAAACTACCGTTTTTCGTTTTGCGGCAGCTGCGATGCTTTATCGGTTGCCCTGAGGACGTCGTTCATGAACTGCATCATCTCGAGGAAGCCGTTCCGGATCTTATCCCGCAACGCTTGACCAATCTTAGCTGCGCGGTGAGTCTGTACCGCCTGGCCGCGTTTGCGGCTGAGTGCGTTGCTTTATTTCTAGCTGGATCCACCTTTCCAAAATCGTCCTGGACCTGATACAGCAGCGGTTTTGGAGATGGCCCCAAAATCAACATACCTCGGTGACCGTGGCGCCAGTGGATCCGTTTGCTGACTCCGTAACTTATCTCGTTGCATACCATCCGGCGTTCTAGGCAAAACCCTAGTCACCGATTGCCGAGGCAGCCCAAGTGCACCCTCTCCATCAGTGGACCAGAATGCGTCTTCGTCACCGCCAAGGGGACCCATCAACCTGAACTGATGGTCGTGCCTACTTTCCAGACCTTTTTCCTTCACATATTTCCCAATAATAATTAGCCGAAAACTATAATAATTAAATTTCGACAATAATAATAATTAAATAAGAAAAAATATCTGTAAGGCATATAATCGGATAATAAAGTAATAAATACTAGTAAATAATAAATAAATATGGTAAAAAAGAATAAATAAGAGACTGAATATGATTAATAAATAATTCTTGACTTCGCGAATCACCAAATTTAAATATCTTTCTTTTTACACCCTGCAGAGGGTAAAATACTGTAAAGTATATATATTCTTGATCAGCATCATCAGGAGAGTCGATCTAGCCATGTCCGTCTGTCCGTCCGTCTTCCGCCCGTCCGTCCGTCCGTTTTTACGTTTTTTAAATCTCACAACATTATCATATAACTGCCATATACACGATGGCAAAATGCAGGTCGAAATCGAAATAGTTTCATTGTTTTTAGTAATTTAAGCATATAAATCGAAATCGGCTTGCCGAAGTTTACTTCCTTTCTTATGCACAGCTATGTACATTTCCTGGCAAGCCTCCTGTTTCTCACAGCTTTTCCGGCTGCCAGTCCTAATCACCATTTAAATTGCGAGACGTCGTCGTC